AGATAATGTGTGTGTGTGAGTTTTGATTCAGAGCTTGATCTTCTCTCAGAACCTGTCTTTTCAATGCACAAAATAAAAACATGGTATAGGTGCAATTTTTTGCACCTTAGACTGTATTGTAGACACCTCAAAACATGTTAAATGTGAAGATATTGTCCTGTGGACTGATTAAACCAAATCGGGCCACATTGTTCAAAATATCTATACGGCAATATTACCATCACTGTATCAATATTTAAAGATACAGGAGGCCTAACAGAGTGTTTCAGACAGAGGGTGAATAGAGATGTACAGTATGAGAAAATGAATGTTTTTGGAACATGTATATAAATATATTTTTTAGTAGACCCCAAAAATAAAATTATGAACACTGAAAATGAGCATAAGAGGTCCCCTTTAAATTCAACCTGATTGTATATGCAGATCAAAAAGTAATTTCAAATTTGTTGTTTTAAAATGGATTTTGGATGCATCTTTCTCATAACTCTGACAAAGACAACTAACACTGAGAAAAAAAGAGTAAGAAGGCATGGGCTGTGAATCTGACAGTTCTCTCATTCATCACAGACGGTAGCAGCATTAGCAGTGTGATACCAGTAATGTTACTGTTCAGATGTTATGGCATGGACATATGCACATCGAGTGATCTGTTTCCTCTGTCCATGTATGTCCACATAAAATGTCCACGGCTTAGCTCTATTTGAGCTCCCAGCAGCACACCTGGCTCAGGTATGTTAGGAGTGCTGCTGGGGTTCAGACCTCTGTATTTCTGTAAAAGGGCTATACAAAAAAAACTTTGACTTCACTAGTATTACACCGTTGGTCACTTTTCTTCTTTAGTCCAGATGAATCTTAAACTAAGGGCATTTTGAGAACTTATGACAGTGCTTCCTATGTAGAAAATCACTTCTTGCCCTGCAGTTCACTCCACAGCAACACAGTGATGTGACGTAATATGCAAACAGGCTTAAAATTAGGTGTATAAAAAGTGGTCAGTGAGTGTATATGTAGAGTATGTGTGGGAGAGAAAGAAGCAGAACCTCTGATCCATACCTTACAATGTTAAAAGAAGTCGACTCTTAACAGATGTAGAGGTCTCTGGTCAATTTTTTGTCACCTGCAGCTTGTGATTGGGAATTCTTCATGGCTGCATCTAAAATGACATGTACATGTCTGTGTGTCTGCCCTGTGATGGACTGATGAACTGTCCAGGATGATTCCTGCCTTCTGCCCAATGACTGCTGGGATAGGCTCCAGCTCCCCAAACACCCCCCCCCCACACACACACACTGTCTGCAGCCACACAGGCTTCCTTAACAGAAGGTATTAATATTAATAAATAATAGTTTAATGAAATACATTTAACCTAAAATCGTAATGGAACTTTACCTTTGTTAGTTCATGTTTATCTTGTTAGTATATGGAAGCAGATATATAAATGCACCCCCACACACACAGGAGAAAACATATAGAACACAGTGGTTCTTACAGTCAGTTAATAGTCAATCATGAGCGAGGGAAACAGATATACTAGTGTCATCATATTGTTAAAGTATAAAATGTCCAATCAAACAGAGACATACTTATGTGATTCACACTGACAGAAAATGAGTCAAAACAAACCAGTTCCCCCATTGAGACAGAAAGATAAATAAAAGTTGCTTCCGTACATAAAAGATGCTGGTGGCAGATGAAGGATTTGCAGGTAACTGCAATTACAGAAGATAACGTTACTTGGTTAAGCTTTAAAGTAGGGAAAATCATGGGAGTGTGAAAGAAGGAGATTTCAAAAGCATAAAAAAGCATGTCCTCTGGACAGTGACACAGTGATTTCTTGTGGTATATTAAATGTTTTATTCCACTTACCATATATAAATTAATATTCTCAAAAGGTGGATGCTCAAACTCCAGTTTATACAACAGATGCAGAATTTCCAGAAGCTGAAAGTTGACCTAATATTAATTGTTTTAGATATTTGAATTTAAGATTCTGTCTGTCACTCCAACTCCAGTCTCTTGGCATGCTCTCATCTTCTTTAGCCTCTAAATGGGTGTTATTTGAGCATCTGTTACTGAAACAGCCTGTACTGCAGTGGATCTCACCTGTAGCCGGATAACTAGCACCACAGAACAATTATATTTTTACATTTCTGTCACTTCAACATCAGTCATTCGAATTTGTACTCTCACATATGAGTCATTATCCTCTAAACGGGTGTTTTTTAATCATCAGTTCTCTGGAACCAAGCCTGTACTGCAGCGGGAGGGCACCATGCCCTCACGTTAGCTTAGCCTAGCAGGCTACAGTTTAGATCATTACAGAACCGGTTTGATTTCGGCTTTCTCCACTATGCACTATCAATCAGATGACTTTGAGCAGGCTAGCATTAGCTTAACTAGGAGGCTCCAGCTCCAGACACCAGAAAACAGGTCTAATATTGGCTTTCTGTCCCCCTACATCAGCTGCTCGCTTCCTCAGAGTCATTATAATGTAAATTTTTGTCAGTAAAGATTTTTTAAGTCAGAATCGAACATGTTCTGTAGGGAGCAGAGCTGGCAGCATGCTTGCTAAGCTAACACTTACGATGTGAAGCCCAATCTCACATCCCCGTCCTGATCTTACTTCCCCTGGTTTCCGGTCACGGTATTCACAAGCTGTGTCCAATTCAGGGGCTGCATCTGAAGGCCGATAGCATGACAGCGGTGCGAATAGGCTGTCCCATTTCGAAGTCTTCTTCATTTGTGATCAAGAAATGTGTCCCTTTTTTCCATGGCAGTGAAAGATCCAACGGGCAGATCCTTCACCAACCAACATATCCTGAGGTTTATTGTGTGAGGGTTCAAGAACATTGCAGTGTTACATTTTGTTTTGTTTTAGGGAGCAGACAGAAAGAAGCATTTCCAGCTCTAATAAATGGAAAAATAAAAAAAAAACTAAAATCAAAGTTTCTGGCTCCATCTTTAAGAACTTTAAAAGAACTTGACAAGAGCAGCGTTTTGTGGTGCAACAGTTAGCGCGGGAACAGAGGTGCTATAATGCCAACAGGAAATCCACCGTAGAGCAGACCGTCTCATTGACATGCCTTCGTAGACTGCGTCCTTCCAAGGATGCAGCCTCTGAAGTGGGACACAGCTGCAGTGTTATTGGATGAATGATATGTATCACAGTCAACAATTCTGGGCGGAACCTCAAAAGGCATAGGTAGACATGTATGATGCCTGACTTTTTATAAACTTAAATATATTCGTAAACAAACACAACAAAGCTAGCACATAACTGACTTAAAACAGTGACACGTTTTACAGTTAACAGTATTGGTTTTTATGATAATGAAAACATGCTAATTTGCTAACTCTGGCCGAGGGTCCTTGGGACGTGAACCTGGTTTTTAACTGTTCTGTGTCAAACTGTGTCCATGGGAAACACCACAGAAATGGTTACTCTACATGCGCAGAACAGTTCAGCCCTGCAGTGAAAACAAGGCCAAAGTGTACATACAGTAGGAAATGTGGGTGTGTATATATATATATATATATATATATATATATATATATATATATATATATATTGAGGCTAATCAATAAATTCCTCAGCATGAGTTTTCTCTGAGCTGCTGCTTGACGTGGTCATTGCATTGTTAAAAACCACAAAGAACACTACTTTTGTTTACAGAAAGTAAAACAATTTTGGTGAATTGGGCTTGTCACTGCCCGATTTGAACTGGAAACCCGATTTGGACTAAAGATGCGCAGCAAGGTCATGTCATTTCTGATATTGCTTTACAACAATCCTGCGCATGCATGGTCCAAATTGGGTTGGTTCACATACACTTTCACACACGTGTAGTCCAAATCGGGTTTCCAGTTCAAATCGGGTAGTAACAGGGCTAATAACAATAGTTATATGGTGTCATACGTCAAAGGATGTATGGGTCAAAGGACACTGGTAAGATGGCAAATGCACTGTTGTTGCTTAGAAGCTTGGCTACTTGTTACATCAGGATATCTGATTTTTAGTAAAGCTGAAAGAAATAAAACACTTTAATTCTGCATGTTGCCAGCAACATTACCTTTGATTGCTGTAAGGAGCATTTGGTAGATGGAACTGACATACCGTGAAACTAAATCACTGTCTCATGTGTTTTTCCTTACAATGTAGGAAATGTAGAAAAATCAGGACACTTGTTGGGTGCCACAACAAGACATTTTATGCATATTATCTCCCTCAACAACAAGAAATAGAAGAATATAATACCTCTCAAAAAACAGGATAGATACTTCATGAAGTATTAGAAAGATTTTATTATATACATATTATATACATAACATATAAAACACTAGCCAATTTTACTAAAACAGAAACAGAAAATGCAGTCAAATGAGTCAAAGAACATACTCATTTGTTACTTAAGTTTACATTTTTGTACAGATTTTTTCTTAAACATAATACTTATATTGGATACTGTAGCACTGCTTCAAATCAAAGTTATTTATCCATTCTATTTTTATTATTATTCCACTAGATTACTGAACATCCTTTAATTTATGGCCCTCAAAATCAGCACCAGTGGACCACATCTGGTTTGGCTCAAGCAGAGATTGATAATTAGCTAATGTGCATTAAAGCAAAGAGAAATTGACAAATATGTGCAGTGCTGTGTAACTACAGGGCTAGAGTAGAAGAAGCTTCGTTCTCATTAAAAGCCTTCAACTCAGTCAGTGAGTTTCACTTTCTAGTTTGCTTCTTTCTAAAGTAATCAGTGATATTAAATCAATTAATCAACAATACACCAACATAACAGTTACACATTTTAGAGATAAGACAGTATTGGGTTACTTTATGTACCTTTCAATTAAAGATTTATCATTTTGTTATTGTCTTTGATCATATTTCTAATTCTAGAAACATAATCATCTTGCTAGTTTAATGTCCCTAATATGACAAAAAAAGTATTTTGCGTGCTAGAACAAAGTGCTTGGGACTCTCACATTTACCTAATGGTATATATCTGGTTTTTAGTGAGCCACATAAAAGAGCAGGTATCCCTTATGGCACGCTCAAATGTAGATTTCACATTTCAGTAGCAGTGACTTGTTCATTGATTTCAATCACTTCAAAGCCCTGGTTATCTATGCCATTTTTGGGGTAGTGATGACTTTGGCCATTATAGAAGCAGTGGGCACAGTGTGCAGTTGGTACGGGCTCTACTCTGGCAAAATTGGAGAAATCCACACGATATTTGCCTTCTTTATTACGAGAAATGATTGGGAGAAATCTGTGGCCCCACTTGATCTCCTGGGGGATATAGGAAGTCCTAACTTGGCAGGAGGAGCTGGTGGACTCATCTGTGCCGTCCAGAAACACCACCAGCTCAAACTCTTGCTGAAGCAGTGTGTCCACAGCCAACTTAAAGAATGGGCTTGTTTTGTCAATTACATGGTACAGGGTCAAAGGACAGATGAAGAAGAGATTGTCTTTCCCAGCGTCAACCATGAAATCAACATTGACTTGGTCCAGGATGATTGTCTCACCTTCAGGTGTGATTGTTGTCCTAAGCAGCTTTCCATAGATCTGACTGCCAATCATCAAAGTTTTACGCAAGTTGGCGACTCGTATCTGGAGACAGAGGGCACCATTTTTAGGGCAGATGACAGCCATTTTGCTGAAGGTAATGGTCTTAGCTCTTTTCTTAGGCAAGGCAATTTTGGCCATAACTAATCCACACCAGAAACAGCTGATAAGTAAACCAATGATGGTCTGAATGATAATGAGGGCAACAGCACCAGGGCAGAATGGACTGAGGACTCGCAGACCATAACCAATGGTCATCTGTGTTTCCAGTGAATAGAGGAAGGCTGTTGTGAGGCCAAAGACATTATATATACATGGCTTGTGGTCTGAGGGGGGATTTTGCCACCACAAGTCCCCATTATCAAGGGCAATCCAATACCAGATGAGACCAAAGATAAACCAGCTGAGAGTGAAGGAGGCCACAAAAAATAAAATGATGAAACGCCAGCGGATTTCCACAAAAGTGGTCCACAAATCCAGCGCATAGGCAAAGCGGCTGCTGTATCTCACATTGCCATATTCAATGTTGCAGTGTCCGTCTTTGGTAACAAGGCGGTTTTTGCAAGTGCGTCGCTTGGCCAGGTAGTCTCTGAGAAACTGCTGCAAGGAGCGTGTCATCTTTAAAATACCAGAATCACTGTATGGAGAAAGAATAAAGAATAGAGCAATAAAGAACATGTTCAAAGTCATACCTTGTGCCAGTGGCAAACAAGTGGCTAGAGCAAATATGTTTGGTTCAAATTCTCATTCACAAAAGCATTCAATATTATTTCAACAAATTCCAGGCGGCAGGTAGAAAAAACTTCTGAATGGTCATAAACCTGCAGCTTAACTTTGCAACAGAACAGAAAACTTGAGGATTAGCTGGTAATAATATGACATTGACGCAAGCTTACTCACATGCATTAGCTCCTTTGACAGTCTCATCCATTTCATACAAGACATTTTATTAAACTTTTTGTTTTTAGAAAAGTTTTTGTTCCTCATGGGTACATAAAATCCAGCTAAGTGATTGAAAGTGACCTTCATCTTACCTTTCATGGTTTGTCCTCAGTACCGGTTACGTAAAGACTTAAGATCTTTCTGCAGGGCAGGGGAAAAGCCTATTTTTAGCCAGTATACTTAAGTTTTTTAGAGGAATAAGCAGTGTTAGTTTTTGCACCTCATTTCAGTGCCTCAAGTCAGTTTTTAAACTGCAAAATATTTATTCTACACACTGGCTCCCTGTGATAGTGAAGCTCTTTAGATCTTGTATACTTTGTACTGTAGTCTCTGACTATCCTTATCTACTCTTATCATGTTGTAATTATTACAAGGTGTGATTCATCCAGTTTGATATGGTGTATGTTTTAACACTTTCCAAGAGCAGGTTACAGCCTACCAGATTCTGTTGCTTGTTAAATAATTTTAAAATATTTGAGGAAGGAATATACACATACCTGCTACTGATAAAACATAAACTTTGTTTGCTCCCACTGTTTGTGACTAATTCAGCCAAAAGTGGTGTGAGTGCAAATGTGTTTTTACTGTGAAGAGGGGTTAATTGTAACAAATTGAGGAGTTTGTTTGCTAAAATTATCTATACAAGTGTTGCAAATTTATTTTTGACCACAAAATAGAACAAACAGTAAAATAAAAAAATATTTTATTTACATAACGTCAGCGGTATACTTCTCTTGAATCTTTGAACAACAAGTGTGGCATTGTACATCAATTAATTTTTTTTTGAATTAAGAGTTTTAATGAGGGGAAAATTGTTTTTTTCATTGTTCACTTTGGAAGGCTTGGTTGTAACACTTTTAAAACTAATCCTGCTATGTGGAGACTGTACTTTAACCTGGCTGGCATTCACTTTGAGTTATTGAATTATATGCTTCAAAATGGCACTACATTACAGCCATCAAGAGGGTGATTAAAATATTATAGGTACAAATTATGTAACACACACAATTTGAATGGAAAAAATAGCTACTTTCATGCTACAAAAACCATGTTAATGGCAAATCTTGAGAAATACCTGTGATTCCTGTGAAAATACACAGATAACAATGCTATGGGAATACAAGAATTTGACTGAAAGCTTGGACCTGTTTAACCACGCAAAAATCAGTGTTAAATTTTACCCTGCACCAAGTTGTCTTGTGCTCCAATACCTCATAAAACAGCAACAGTATGTAAATAAGCCTCTGCTTGTATAATTGTAAAAGATCCTTCATAACAACGTTATAAATGAAACATATGTCCATCACCATACTCTAAGGACGCTTATTTCAATAAACTGTCATTTGCTTCACAAAACAGGTCATCTTGTAAATAATGACATCAGGTGTTTTAACTAAATATTTTAAATTAAGTCATTCAGTGCTTGTGGATGTATTATAAAGTCCCTATGTAGGCAGTCTTTAAATAAAATATATGGCCACCAGAACATTGTAGCATGACAGTGAAGTAAGCCCATATAGCAGACTCCAGAGTGTCCAGTATTTAACAGTATGTGCTCATACCTGGATCTGCTTTTGAAGTAGTTATGCATAAGCAGACTAGTACTACATTATGTTCTAAAAGGGTAATTTTTACTGTGTTCTCTTTCAAGACTGTCATTTTGTAACAAACAAAACAGAACATGCAGATACCGTCATCAGATTTGTCAAAATGTGCTTCACTATAACTGTACTTGCAAAAGACTTTTGAAAAGTACTTTCCTTCCCATATTTCAAGGGGCTAGGCTTAGTACATTTAAATTGTGCACTCACTGGCTCCTTTAACAAGTCCTGCATAAATAAGTTTTGTTCTAATAGAACACAAAGTTCTAAAGTTTATTTTGTACACAAGATTTTCTTTTTTCAAGGAAAAAATGCTTGTGTGTACCTTCTAGAAGTTTATGAGTAAATAAATTGGCTTGAAATTGTGCATTCAAGATATTTCACCAATAGCAGTTAAATAAGTAAATTAGATATCCAGGTAATTGGAAAAATAAAATTGTTACTTTCTGCTTGTCTCTTCATTATCCTATTGTCCTTTTTCACACTAGTGTTTTTGTTTTTTGCATTGTAATATGAATACAAATGAGGGTCTGAACCGAGCCATCATTCGTGTCAAAAATTGGAAGGTGTTCAGTTCTGTGTGAGGAAGCCCAGACCTAGAGTCATTAAATCAGTATTCTCATGGTAGCAACCAAAACTGCATGAGTAGCAGAATAAACAAGGCATTCACAAAGTAATGAATCTAACCTGAGGCAAGCATAGTAATGTCTATTCATGGCAGTGATATGACAGTAAGGAACAGATAAATGAATGTAGAGAGCGGAGTCATTCTGTGATACAGTTCTATAAAAGAAAGCAAAGAAGAATGGAATGTTTAGTTAACTTACCTGCTACAGCAGTTCTTTTGTGGTATGCAAGAATTCTCTCTCTCACACACACACACTCTCTGTCTTGTACTTAAGGATTATAAAAAAGGGAAGGTCTTAAATTAAACAAATTAAATATTTATATAATGGTGATACCATCACTGTTGCTGTTTCTTCGTCTTCTTCTCCCTCTTTAAGCATGACATGGGTTTTTGTATGGCCCCTTCCTTAAGGCTGGACCAAGTGCGTTTAATGTTTACCTGTACACAAAAATCAAGTGGGTATATATTGGCCTTATTATACCAAAACATGTTGTTAAGAGTCAATAGTTTAGTTCAGTGTTGAATACACAGTACATCTTTGGAAATGTTTCCATCTGCATTTGAATAGAACTTCTTATGTGCGTGTCCCAGAAAACTGTTCAGTCATACAGTGAGAAAGGAACTTGCCTTCACCTACTACACCTGTGGTGTCCAGTCTTATCCACAGAGGGCCAGTGTGGCTGCAGGTTTTAATTCCAAATGAGCAGATGTACGCCTGACTTCCTTACGTGTTTAATCAATTGCTAAGTGTTCAAGCAACTGATCATATGTGCTCCTGCTTTGTTCAAGACGTCATGAGACAAAGATTAATTGTGTTAACCACAGGTCTTCTCTGTTCCACTCAATGTTCCTGAATGACAGTATGACCATTTGTGCATACAGCATTTCTGTATAACACTTACAGGGTGCAGAATTGTATTTCCATTCAGCTCCAATGACAATACAACAGCTACTTCGAGGAGCAAGCAAATCCCTTATAATTATAAACTGAACAAAAGAAGATTCAATGGGTTAGTTTTTGTTTGGCTATAATAGCAATGCTTCCAAAAGATGTATGAGTTATTAGGGATGATCTTATGAAAGAATATTTTGAATGCCAGAAATCTGTTAAAGCTTGGTCAATCCTCAAAGCAGTTTGTAAGCATTTTTTTTTATTGCACAATGAAAATTTTTACTTAATCAAGATTTCCTCTTTGTCATTTACTGTGCAGTATGAAATGTCTGTGTGGGGGGAAAGCAAAATGTATTTTGAGAGGGAAAAATATTTTCACCAGTCACCCTTCTGTAAGTACTGTGGACTAAACTTCCTCCAAGATAAGTAAACCATGTGAATATTTCCCTGGTGATTCCAAGCTAATGATTATATTCCTCATCAATTTTAATTGATGTACAATGCCAAACTCCCTTTTGCAAAGTTTCTTTCATTTTTCATTATTAATAACATGTTGTATCTTTAGGCAGTTGTTAAGAGCCCCAGATACCAAAACAAGATGTGAATGGTGAGTTCATTTATATTGTTTCATAGAGCAAAACCAGGCCATTTCTTAACCAAAACTGTTGAGCTGTCATAATTGGACAAAAAAAAATCAGTCACAGTTTTCTCTATGCTTCAAATGGGAGAGATGGCAGTTTGTTACAATACTGTGCAAAAGTATTAGGCACCTAAACAAATTGTTTAAATCCATTTTAAACAATAACTGTGTTTTACCAGTACAGCACCATTTGAATAAATGCAAGTATTAAAGCAGGAAGAAGTTTTTTTGTTTTAAAAAAAGCAGTTGATATCTTTTAAGCTAGTTTGGTCCTAAACTTCTCCTCAAAGCCCCTAGCCATCAAAGTGATTTGTTAGATTCCATCACCAGCACACCTGATCTAATTTAATTAAGGATTGATTTGCTAAACCAGGTACTGCTGATGATGATGACTGCAAATAATACTGGGCTTCCTTAATGAGAGGTATGGAAATGGTTAAAGGAAAACTTATGTTGTTGAATCAATACTTTTTGTATTATTTTATTTTCATTTATTCTAATATCAATGTTTTTCTGAGCAAAACACTACTGCCCAGATAAAGAGCTTCTTTAAATCTAATTTTCTAATCTAATAGTGCCTAAGATTTTTCCACTACTGTAAATGTGTTAAATGCTTCACCTTGAGTGCATTCTGTTAAAGCCCTGATGCTTCAGAACATGGAAAGCTTTGCTTTACTCAGAATAGCTGTAGAGTTTAGGTTCAGGGTAATGCCACCTCCTGCCATTCTGGATCATGTCTGGCAGCCACTCGGTGAAGGATTTTATTGCACGAGTGTGAACATGACTAACTATGTTCCAATGAATAGCCAGAATGAGTTCCATACAATATTTTCCTGTCCTGTTCCCAAACATGAGAGGGCAAAGCAAGGAATTAAATTTAGATCATTGCAAAACAGTCTAATTTCTAAGACCACTGATTTGTCCAGACAGCACAGACTGATTGATTTAGTAAAAGGGCCTACATGCCAAACTTCAGTCCTAGGCAGGTTCCAAGACTCCTCACTCCACCTGAGAGACATTTAGTTCGGCAATGTTCCAGTCTAAATCTTTCGTTCCTTAAAGGTTAATAATTGTCTGTAACTCCAAAGTTTTGCATCATTGATCTGCTAATAAAGCCCTCAAGGCCTACTTGGCACCTGGACCTGTTAAAAGATCCATTCACATGACTACAATAAATCAAACCACATTATCCATTATCCATTAAAAGTCTCTGAAAACTGCTTTAGATAAGATGATGTGACCAGCACATTTTTGCACACTGGTAATGTGTAAACTACGGTGGTAGGTCTACGCCTAATACTAAAATTAGCTGTTTACATGTTTCTTTACAGTCAGTTTAACCATTATTATATTATTATTCGAGCAGCACGGTGGCACAGTGGGTAGCAGTGCCCCCTCACAGCAAAAAGGGCCTTTTCAGGCTAATTGGAGATGCTAAATTGCCCCTAGGTATATGTGTGTGTGTGAATGTCTGTGTGTCTGCCCTGCGATGGACAGGCAACCTGTCCAGGATGTTTCTTGCCTTCCGCCCAATGACCGCTGGGATAGGCTCCAACACCCCCTGTGACACAGAAAGATAAGCAGTTCAGAAAATGTGTGTGTGTATGTGTGTGTGTGTGTGTGTGTGTGTGTGTATTACTATTCTCCACCTGGGGTCACTACTGTAACACTACAATTCACTGGGTGTCCAGCCAAACAAAGTTTTAGGCAGACATCATTTCACAAATGACACAACATATACTGAAAAGGAAGTTATTAAAGTGAAAGGTGGTTTGTTCAACCCAGGTGTGATGGAATAAGCCCAGTGCCCAGTTTTCTTCCTGTTGTTCACTCACTGTGCTGTAACAACATTCCATGTTTAATTTGTAAATGATGTATTTCCAGAACTCTCAGTAGTAATCTTGCAGGTTGGTCGGGGGGAGATTTAACTTTAACGATTTTGCATTGTTGTCCATGTAGTTACTGAACAAAAAGCATTAGGATGTAATAAGCCTGGAATTTTATGCAGTTAGTACTGTATGAATATTCAGCCGCAGGAATATTTAACTCGCTTTTTTGTACATGCATATTGCTGACTTACAGTCTTTTAAAATTTTTGGCACCCCTGGTCCATCTGTTTTGTTGATTGTCTAAGTGAAAATAAGTATACATCCACTACAGAGAACAAACCTCTACACAGTTTCTGTTATTTCAAATCTTGTATTTCCTCCTTCACTGGCAGATGGTGCTTTTACTGTTTGGTACAATTTGGGTATTAAGACATACGTTTGCATACGTTAAGAAATAGGTTTACATCCTTTCAACAGCTAGATGCTTAATTCTCTCTCCCTAAGAACCATTCCTTTAGATATTTACAAATTCGCAGTTTTGGTAAAAATATATTTCCACACTTTCCTAAATTACCCACTGATACTCCTTTCAACATGTTTTAAACACAAGTGATTCCTATGAAGGGTTTAATTTTGTGTCTTTATGAACAGGTCCATTCTTTACCATTAGTTTCTCTTCAGACTATTTCTTTGGCAAGCACTGCTAGGAGAGGACATTTCAGAAGTACTTTGGGATGGTGCACTTGAGAAGGCACATAAATCTTCTATTTGTGCAAAGCATGGTCTCATACAATGTAAAATAATACATTAATTTCATTATACTAACGTCAGACAAGATCTATAACAAAATAGATCCTACATATGATAGATGCCACTCACATACATACATTTTGGTCCTGCCCCTCTTTGTATTCATATTGGACAGAAATATTCAAATCATTTACAGATTATAATAGGAAAACCCATTGAGTGATTCCCCCATCACTACCCCTTTCATCTCTGGATGCGGATTTTGTATCTTTTGTCACTCTCCCTGTTAAGCGATTAATACTAATTAAATGTAAATCTCCTATACATCCATCTCACACATCATGGATTTAAAAAGTCCTCTGTGTTGTGAAACTGGAAAAAAAATGGTTCCTTACAGAGATTTCATAAAATCTGGAATCCTTTTTTAAATGTGTAGAAAATTTGTCCTCCTTTCTTGATGGGCTTATTATTGATCGCTCTTTCATATGTAGACACAGTTGTACTGAAATATGTAAAGGTAGTACTTTAGACTGGCCTGTCTATTGATGTAAAACATTATTTTATTTTATTTATTATGTATTTATTTACTCATTCTTTTTCTTTTGTTTCTTTTATTATTTTCTTTGTTTGTGTTATGTTTTTATAGTCTGCTCAATCACATATGTTTCTAGTCTGTTTATTCATTATCGCCCTTTTTTTAATTGTCTTTTGTATTAACCTCAATGTTAACCTCAATACAATAAAATGTTAAAAACTGTTATTTGACCCCGCGTGTTTAAACTTTATTATTATTATTATTATTATTATATGTGAATCCTGTGAAGTATTACTTTAGACAAGGGATCTCAAATTTAAATTATCTGGGGAGCACTAGCCAGGTGATTTTATCCAAGGGTGAGCTTGGTGAAAAAAAGGAAAAAAGTGTCCCATTATTTAACTTATCCCAACCACAGTGTAACCTGGTTTCAATGGTTATAACGTTGTTCAAACTTTGTGTGGCTACATATCAACATGTGGCTGCCTGCAGTGTTCAGCTACATAGATACATGTTGCCATACTGTGCCCTAAACTACAACAAGTCTAGGTGACCTTACTGAAGACCTGGGTGCTGTCTGATTGGGTTAGAAGAAGTTTTGGGTATACATTTAAAATCTTGGTGTGACTATTGATTTCTGGTGTTCATTAGCAATGTTAATCTCTGGATCACTGCATTCCTGGGATTCATTCCTGTTAACATGGAAAATAGATTACATTTACAAATGTATGCGTTTATATGACGTTGTACAAGATTTTAAAATAAATGCTTAAGGAAAGATTCAACATTAATTGTTCAACGGCTGAGTCTGACAAAGTTCCTCCTGAACTACTAACTGACGTAGTGTATTCCAACACTTCTAACAGTAGTGAAATACACTACACAGTGTGTGGTATCCTCCATTTACATTCACAGAAACAGGTATCAGAGAAGCCTGGAGGCATCACACCACACTGTACTGACTGTTGTCCCTTGTGTGTATTTTGATCAGAAACATTAAAAGGCTAATGCACATCTTCATATTTGGCAGTGTGAACCAATTTGTACATCAGCCTACAAATGGGACAACTGCTAAAATACTACAGTATTCAGTAGCTTGTCTGCTTACCTCTCATCTTTAGAAAAGAAAACCCCATTCTTTTCTGCAGGAGTATGTGTGTCAGTGTTTCCTCTGGACAGTAGTTCTCCTTTAAAGTTCTCTTGAGGGCAGGGTCAGTTGAAGAGAGGGCTCATCGAAATATCTGAAATATCTTCATTAATAGTGAGTTACCATGTGTTACACTTTACTATTCTGTTCTTGATCATCATTAACTCCTAGTTCATTAATAGGGAGTTGCCATGTGTTTCACTTTATGATACTGTTCCTGATCATCATTAACTCCTAGTTCATTAGTAATGAGTTACCATTGTTTCATTTTATATTGTTCCTGATCATTATCAGTTCCTAATGAAGAACAGCAACACCTTATTCATTATCTAATAGACAGTAATTACATAATCACTTGGTAATATGTAGCACCAAATGAATTTGAAAGCAGGACACATACACATCAGACCCCCGGACCGTAAATGTGAGACTTTTGATTCAGATTCAAGGTTTTATTCAGATTGCAGCACTAATATAAAGACCCACTTAGCTGACTTGCTAACTAATCTGAGCTAAGTAGGTATGGTCTTCAATGTCTGTTTTACCATGTTTCAGAATTATAAGTACATGTTAGTGCTTTATTAAACCTAAACCTGCTGCTGTTAATCTGTTATGAGTATATGCTAGCTAGCAAATTAATGTAGCTAATGTGAGCTAAACTAAAAGTAAGCAGTAAAACTTTGTTCCTCAGATATAAAACAGAAAGATGTGTAATTAGTGTACTAGCAGAACATACTGTGATCAGTCTCAGCTCTTAGACTTTCTCCTTCAGTAGTAATGACAGATTTTGATTACATTTTGTTTGAATGTATTATTTTCAATGATATAGCTAGCTAACTCAGGGATGTTTTCACATTTGGACTGTTCAGAAATAAAAAAAAGGACTCAATAAATAACTTATTTACTCTCACTTTTTTCAAAATTTCTTTATTAATATTTTTTTTTTGTACTACAGTACATGATACTGTTCCTGATCATCATTAACTCCTAGTTCATTAATAGTGAGTTACCATGTGTTTCACTTTATAATACTGTTCCAGATCATCATTAACTCCTAGTTCATTAATGAGTTACCAAGTGTTTCACTTTATAATACTGTTCCTGATTACCATAAACTCCTAGTTCATTAATAGTGAGTTACCATGTGTTTCACTTTATAATACTGTTCCTGATCATCATTAACTCCTAGTTCATTAGTAATGAGTTACCATGTATTTAACTCTATACTGTTCCTGATTACCATTAACTTGTAGTTCATTAATAAAGAGTTATCACTGTTTCATTTTATATTGTTCCTGATCATCATTAACTCCTAATGGAGAACAGCAACACTTCATTCATTATCTAACAGACAGTAATTATATAATCACTTGGTAATATGTAGAGCCAAGTGAGTTTGAAGGGAGCACACATACACATTCTGATATTTCCATGAGCCCCCTCTTCAACTGACCCTGCCCTCAAGAAGACTTTAAAGGAGAACCACTGTTCAGAAGAAACATAGGCACATGTGATCCTGCAAAAAAGAATGGTGTTTTCTTTTCTAAAGATGAGAGGTAAGCAGACAAGCTACTGAATACTGTAGTATCTTAGCAGTTGTCCCATTTGTAGGCTGATGTACAAATTGGTTCACACTGCCAAATATGAAGATGTGCATTAGCTTTCATGAAGGTTTCTGATCAAAACAAACACATGAGGGACACCAGTCAGTACAGTGTGGTGTGATGCCCCCAGCCTTCTCTGAGGATACCTGTTTCTATGAATATAAATGGAGGATATAATCCATTGTATTGTAGAGACCGCACACTGTGTAGTGTATTTCACTACTGTTAGAAGTGTTGGAATATACTACATCAGTTAATAATTCAGCAGGAACCTTGTCAGACTCAGAGCAATTAATGCTGAACTGATTGGTAATTTATGAGTAGTTATTCTAAGAAACCATAGTTACTAAGTAATTCTCTATGAGACTCTCTATGAGTAGTTATTGTTTAGTTGATAATGAACTACCCTAATCATTAGTTTACTTTTACCTACTGAGTTGTTAACTATTAGTCCTTGGTAGTTACAAGTAATTACTTAAGTGTTAATGCAGCACTGCTCATACATTTCTGCTTAGTTTCTGATTAGTTACTTATTAACTATGAAACAGTATTGTAAAGTGTTACCGAAGATAGTGTAGAGTGATTAATGTTACATGCTAGCACACACTGCTCCAGTGTCCAGTGGTGGCATGCTTTACACCACCCCCCCCCAACCCCCCTGTTTGGCATTGTGCATTTTGATCTTAGGCTTGTGTGTAGCTGCTCAGCCAGGGAAACCTATTTCATGAAGCTCTTAATGCACACTTGTTTGGCTGATGTTGCTTCGAGAGGAACTTTGGAACTCAGTAGTGAGTGATTAGGTGAGGATAGGCACTGTATGCTTCAGCACTTGGTGGCACTACTCTGTGAGTTTGTGTAATCTACCACTTCGTGTTGTTTTTGCTCCTTGGTGCTTCCATTTTACAATAATAGCACTTCCAGTTGACAGGTGCACATCTTTCACAAACTAACTTGTGGCAAAGGTGCCATCCTATGACAGTCCCATGTTCAAAGTCACTGAGCTTATCAGTATGACCCCTTCCATTGCCAGTGTTTGCCTATCAAGACTGCAAGGCTATGTGCTTAATTTTATCCACCTGTTAGCAATGGGTGTGGCTGAGGTGTCCCAATACTTTATGTCTATATATTGCATATACATTTTTTGTTTTTCTTTGATAATTTTTGAAAAGTAGGCAAATATTTTCCCTTTTTGGACAACAAAAACAAAATTGCTACTGTTCCAAACGTGTAGGTTTGTGCATTATCATCGTATATCATGCCAAACAAAAGCATACATATGCTTTTTCTTTAGAGTATAGGGTATTTTTCCCCATTTCCCATATTATGGTGATTAATATTATACTAGTGCATTTTGTGATGATAAATAAGTTATTCTGACACTAATACTAAAAAAGTGTGTTTAAATTTTTTATTTATAATTTCTAAAAAATGGGAAATATCTTACTAGTTCAGCCAGGGATACGTAAACTTATAAGATGGACTGTATCCCCAGGCCCAGAAGTCTAAATGTATTTGGTCAGCTTTTTAACCGGACAAGTAAACCTAGCAATTTTGTTATCCTTCAGGAAGGGTTGGACAATGTTCAAAACTTTGGGAGAACCATGTGTAAGAATTGAATTTCCTTTTAATCAAGTTGTAATATTATTTCAAGAAAACATGGAGTGTTCAATGTGGTTACCCTCCATGCCGTTTATCCCCCCCTCTGTCTCTTCTCTTTAGACCTTCATACTGTGCCTATTCAGTCCTATTGTTTATTTGCCATTGTTCTCCCTCTCACTGTTATATCTCTCCACAGCCTTCAAACACACCATGCAGCAAGATGAGCATACAGACACACTCATAAGCCATATGTACATAGGCACATACACAGTCATATAAATGACAAATCCTAAAATAAGTAAGCTGGCATGTGGGGGAGGAAACATATCCTGTCTCCCACAAACGCACACATGCACATACATGCATACACAATCTCTCTAACTCTCTGTCTTTCTGCATACCCTTCCTCTTGCACCACCCCCCTTCTCTCTGTCTCCCATCCCCCAGAAGTGAAAGGTAAGGAGAAAACAGAACAGTGTGAAACAAAGGCAGGCAGTGCAGTGCAGGACTATGCAGAGCAGCACCTCGGAGATGCCTTCACTAACAGACAGCAGCATCTACCATGGCACCAGCGTGGAGGTAAGAAAAGGCAGTATAGTAAAACAGAAAGTGAGGAATAGGGAGTTAGAGAACACAAGAAGAAACGTTCTGGAATAACTGCAAGTTGAGATGCGTGTGTGTGTGTGTGTTTGTGTATGTGTCCCATTGATGCAGTTTCATTATCACCAGTAAATACATGTCTGTCATTGCTACATTTGATTGCTACACCAGCTGCTATGGTGGACCAGAGAGAAACAATAAAGAATGAATGAAGCATGATAGTGCATGCTGGGAAAAATAGAGAGAGAGAGAGAGAGAGAGAGAGACTGAGAGATGGACAGACAGAGAGGAGGGTTACTCCAACTAGTAGCCTCCACCACATAAAGTATTGTCATGCATACACAATCGCCTTCTAGATGCTCCTTTGCTGATAAGGGTCTGATAGATGTATGATGTTCATTGGAATTATCCCAGAAAGATGCTCTGTGAGTGTAGGTGCATGCACAATCCATGTTTATGTGTGTGTGCATGGACAAGATGTTGTTCTTTTAGTGCAATGCAGGTGTTTTATGAGCATGCGAACAGTAGGGGAGAGCTAAGGAAAGGTATGGGTTAAAAAGAGTGCATCTAATCAGGTCAACATAAAGTACGAGTAGAACTGTTAGAATGGTCATGATAATAGCAATGGAAATAGTGATAATTATGCAAATTGTGGACAATTAATTTAATTTACTTTCAAAATGAAAATTTGCTGATCACCACATGAATATGGACCACTGTTCATTTTTCATTTAGCCTGGTTTGTTACCCCAAAAAGAACAGCTGTGGCGAGTAGGGAGAGACTGACACAAAAATTACGTTTTCAAAGTTATGAAGAAGCTTTTTTTTTTTTACAAACCTCAATTCCCCAAAAAAATTGAGACAGAACGTTAAATGTAAATATAAACAGAAAGCAATGATTTCCATGATAACCTGTATTTAAACAAAAACAGTACAAAGACAAATGTGTGATGTTTAATCTTATCAACTTTGTTGTTTCTTTGTAAATATTTGCTCATTCTGAAATTGATGCATGCAACATTTTTCAAAGAAGTTGGATGAATGTTATGTAATTCAAAAAACATATTAAACAGGTAATGCAATTGTGGTTGCAGACAAAATGAGCATCCAGGAAAGGCCTAGTAGAGTAAGTATGGGTTGTGGCTTGCCACTTTGCCAAAAAATGCATCAGGGAATAATCCAACAGTTCAAGAACAAGTTTTTTTTGGTATTTCATCCTCTATGGTGCATAATGTCGTTAAAAGACTTAGGAAATCATAAGAAATCTCTGTATAAAGGGTAAGGCAGAAAGCCACAACAGAATGCCTGTGACCTGTGATCCCTCAAACAGCACTGCATTGAAAACCAGCATGTTTCTGTGATGGATATCAGTATATGGAATAAGGATGACCTTGACAAACAGTTGTCAATGAACACTTTCTTGCTGCATCCACAAATGCAAGTTAAGATTTCTCTGGGCTTGAGCTAATCTGGACTGAGGCACAGTGGAAATGCGTATTCTGGTCTGATGTGTCAACCTTGGGAAATAATGGACAATCTGTCAAGGTATGGGAGTGCATTAGTGCCCATGGCATGGGTAAGTTGCACAACGTAACCATTAATGCTGAAAGATATGCACACGCATTTAAATGCTGCTTCATCTTTTTTAAAGACGTCCATTAATATTTCATCATGAAAACAACACATTACATTCTGCATGTGTTACAACAACATAGCTGTGTAATCAGATAGTTTGGGTGCTAGACTGGCCTGCCCACAGTTCAGACCTGTCTCCCAAAAAGTCATGCATTAAGTGCAAAATATGACAACAAAGGCCCTGTTCAGTTGCACAGTGTAAGACTTGGATAATAGAAGAATGACAAAAAAATTTGCTTTCAAACCTGAATGATTTGTCTTTGTGTCCCCAAATGATTGTGAAGTGTTGTTAAAAGAAAGGTGATGTAACATGGTGGTAAACATACTTCTGTCCCCAATTTTTGGGAACGTCTTGCAGGCATCAAATTTGGAATTAGTGTATACGTACTAAAAAGAAAAACAAACAAATGAACAATAAAACAACAAAGTTCACAAAGTAAGACATCAAATGTGGTATTTTTATACGCATTTTTATTAGAATTTCAGATGCTACCTTCACATACTTTGGAATTGAAGTTTGTCATAATAATAATAATGGTACTTTACTTTCAAAATTTAATCTTGCTTATATGATAAACACATGAATGTGGGCCACTCTATTAATTATTCACTTGTCTTGGTTTGAAACCCTGGGCAAGAACATTTGTGTACATTGTACATTGTACTGTGATAAAGTAATCGAAACATTCAATGTTCTAGAAGTTATGAAGAGGATACATGTGTGCATTTTTAAAATTTCCCTTAAGAGCAACATATTTAAATTCTCTGTGGCCGTTTACCCTTTAAAGAGATGTGTTTAACAGGATGACTGTGTCAAATGTGCCTAATTAATTTGTAGACAAATTATTCTGGAAAGATGACAATAAGCATTGATTCACATTCCATCTGTGTCCTTGCTTCACCTAAGATTGGATTAGCATTAAAGAAATCTCTCTTCAAAGATGTGTGTGTATGTCTGTGCATGTGCATGTGTGAGTTTGTATGTGTGTGTTCCGGTTATGCTCATGCACAGCGTGTTTTGTAAAAAGATTCAGTCCTCAGTTACAGTCCTGTGCAAAAGTCAGAAATCATTCTTTATTTAATTAATTTCTAGTCAAAACAGCCATTAAGAATAAGTTATTAACTGGAGATGTTTCTCAAAAGACAAGATGGAAAGGGAAGGGAAGAGAAGAGGAAGTAAAAGGAAAAGTAAAAAAAAACTAAAAAAAAAAACAGAGGTTTCCAAAACTGGATTTATTATTATCAGAGAGTTAGTTTAAAAAATGGGACACCTAACAACCATACAAGATCTGGTATGCTACCAAAACTGTCACCATGAGATAAACAGTGCTTAAAGCTGAGATGGGAAAAAATCAAGATCCATTCTTGTGTCTTTCCACTGTGAGAAGACTCAGCTCAACACAAAGATTCTTGAAGAATGTGTAGATGTCAAGAAGCTGTCAATGAGAAAAGGCAATAGACAAAAATTTGCAAATCAAACAAAGGTGCTACCTTGCTAATCAACCGCAAGCAACACTGGAACTACAGAAAAGGTTTGAGAAAGGCTGTACAGATGAAACGTTGACACAGTCGGCCATTTAATGTTAAGCTTTCTTTCTTTATATATATATATATATTATATATATATATATATTTTTTTTTTTTTTTACAATTTTTACCCGATTTCTCCCCAATTTAGTTGTCTCCAATTCCACCTGCTAGTTAGGACTCCCCCAATCACAAACGACGCTATCAACGCTAGGAGGGTGAAGGCTAGCACAGGCTTTCTCCAAGACCTGTGAAACCAGCCACCGCTTCTTTTCGAACTGCCGCTCACGCAACGTCATTGGACAGCTGAACGCGCTCGGAAGAAAGCGCCAACCGCCAGATCTGTTACATCAGCTAACAGATGCCTGCGCTGACTACCATCGCGCTGAGTGAGCGATGGGGGGAGAAAGGCAGCCATCCCACCCACCCAGAGAGAGCGAGGCTAATTGTGCTCTCTCGGACTCCCGGCTACGAATGGCTGTAGCATCACCAGGGATTGAACTCGCGATCTCCTGATGATAGGGCCAACGCTTAGACGGTTGCGCCACTCGAGAGCCCATGCAAAGCTTTCTTGAACCATTTCGCTTTCTGCAGTACCAGTGTTGCTTGCCATTGATTTCTGTTCAGTGCACCCCTGGGAGTTTGAGTTGTGGAGGGAAACATGAATCGGATGCAACATCGGCAGCTTTATGGAGGCTTGCATGAATCCTTAATTAATCGGTCCAACATCTTTATTACAAACTAAGCTTAGATTAATTGAGTTATTTACAGTTGGTACAGACAGCTGGCATATTGCAGCCTTGTGAGGTGGTGCTGGGGGTATTTAGCTCAGCGCATGAGTGTGGTTATCTCCTCATGCTAAGCTCCTGTGCTTTCATATTCATGAGTGTGGAATGAGTTGGGCTTCATCAGGGGGGAGTACATTGTTTGACTGATTTGCATACTGTAACCGAAGTATGAAGACATGTCATTCACACCTATAGTAGAGTTGAACCAGAGGGGCGCTGCAGAGGCGGAACTGACTGCGAGAAAAATGATATTTTTACAGTTTGGAAAGATGTGTTCACATTTTAAGCAAAGCTGGTATGTTTTAGAGTTGCAGAGCAGTGCATTTCAGCTGTTAATGAAAAAAAGGTCTTAGGGTGTAGTTACTCTTTAATGGCTGTTTGACTGGAAATATATCAATGAACTGTGGTCTTTCCTAAGTTGTTTTTTAGTATATGATCCACAGAGGAGTTTGTGAAAGTGGGGGAGCATTTTTTTTTCTCTTGTGGGGGCCACTGAATCATTAATCTACACTTGAACGCCTTGTTCCTGATTAAATGTTGCAGCAAAGAGTGAGGCATTTTCTACAGCTACACAAAAAATTGATTTTGTTAAATTCATACTCACACACTGGAAGTGTTTGCTTACCCTCTAATTAAACCTAAGAAGAAAAGAAATCTAATTGACTCATGCCATAGGCTACTGTGAAGACATTAGGTGTATCTTCTGCAGCTCTGCCTTTTGTTGTCACTACCATGGTCAGACTGAGTGGAGTGGAATAAAGCAGAGTGGAGGGAATTTTTTTTTCCAAAGCAAGAAGCAACTTCATAATGTGGGAGCATCAGCTTTCCCCATGATTGCTCTGGTACTGTTTCATCCCCCTGGTGTAACACATGCTAGATTCCTCAGCTCAGCAAATGACACACTTGATTTTAACATCCTGTTCAGTTTAACTTCGTCTTTTGCATGGCTCCTTATAGCAATGATTTTATTTGATTATTTACAGGTGGCAATGCATGTTTGCAGTGATCCAACAGATAAAATACAAATGT